TATAGGGCCGTCTTGGAGGCATCTTGGGACGTCTTGAAGCAATATTCGGCCGCCTGGGGGTCATCTTGGGCCGTCTTCGAGGCATCTTTGGCCATCTTGGTGTCCTTGGTTGCCTGCACGGGCCCGTCTTGGAAGCTCGGAACGCGTATCCACAGTTTCCGGAAAGGGCGGGGGCCCAGGGTTCTCTTTTAGAGGTTTACCCCCGGAATCGACTTGAAGGAGGCCGGCGGAATTATTTTGCGATAAATGACGAGTTTGAAGGCGGTCGGCGGAATTATTTTTGAGGATGTTTCGAGCGAAACGCTTGTTTTTCAGAATTTGTTGAGGATGTCTCGAGCGAAACGCTTGTTTTGTGTTATAGACTGTCTTCTCCTGGGGACCAGAATTCAGAGGATCTCTCAAGTGAAATGCTTGTTTTCACGTGCCCAGGTCTTGAGGATGTCTCGAGCGAGACGCTTGGTTTCACGCCTCCAGGTTGCCCAGGCAGAGGTCTAGCGCCAGGATTTGTTGAGGATGTCTCGAGCGAGACGCTTGGTTTCACGCGTCCAGGTCGCCCAGGCGGATGTCTAGCATGAGCATGTGTTGGGGAAGTCTCGATCGAGATGCTTGTTTGCACGTGTCCAGGTTGCCCAGGCGGATGCCTAGCATGAGGATGTGTAGAGAATGTCTCGAGAGGTACGCTTGTTTTCACGTGTCCAGGTCGCCCAGGCGTATGTCTGACATGAAGATGTGTTGAGGATGTCTCGAGCGAGACGTTTGCTTTCACGTGTACAGATCGCCCAGGTGGATGTCTAGAATGAGGAGGATGTTTCGAGCGAGCCGCTTGTTTTCACGTGCCCAGGTCACCCAGGCAGACGTCTCACATAAAGATGTGTTGAGGATGTCTCGATCGAACCACTTGTTCTTCACATGTCCAATTCGCCCAGGCGGATGTCTAGCATGAGAATGTGTTGAGCGAAACGCTTGTTTTCACGTGTCCAGGTCGCTCAGGCGGATGTCTAGCATGAGGATTTTGACAGGATGTCTCGAGTCAAACGCTTGTCCCCAGCACGTTCTAGCGCGTCCCCTTGGCACGTCCCGCGGTGCGTCCCCATGGCACGTCCCCTGGCACGTCGCTTGGCGCGTCCCTTGAGACGTTCCGCGGCGCGTCCTCCTGGCATGTCCCCCTGTCAATTAGCTATGGGGCAGCTACTATGTGTGCAGGCAGCTCGAGCTTAATATCCAGATCAGTTCGGTCAGGACTTGGATGCAAAGGAGGACTCGATCCACAACGCTATAGAGCACAACCGCGGCATGGCACATCGCAATTCAGCACGGCGCAGCACAGCACAGCCCTCGGCAGTGTACATCAAGATCGATACACTCAGCATTGGATTTGCGGGTACATCAATCAGGTGTCTTTGAAAAGGGTGGTGTGCGTTACATGTCTATATGCCTTTCCGGGTTCGTGGGTCGATCATGTTCCCTACCTAGGCTCTGCCTAGAGGATTCTTACTTTATATCTTAAAGGGGCCTGGCAGTGGAAAACGCCCCGGGCGGTTCCCCCAGGATCCGCTCCGCGGTTCCCCCAGTTGCGTTCCCTTAGCTTAGCGTTGCTTATCTCATCTTAGCTTAACTTATTTCATCTTAGCTTTGCTTAGCTTCATCTTAGCTTACCTTCATCTTAGCTATGCTGAGCTTTAGCGTAGCAGAGCACAGCAGAGCATAGCAGAGCGCAGCATAGCACAGCGCAGCACAGCATATCATAGCAAAGCCCAGCATAGCACAGCATAGCGAAGCATAGCATAGCATAGCATAGCAGAGCGCAGCACAGCACAGCACATCATAGCACCGCGCAGCATAGCATTAGCATGGGTGTACTTCCCTACCTAGGCTCTGCCTAGAGGGTTAGCTTAGCTTAGCTTAGCCTAGCATATCGCAGCGCTGCATTAGCATAGCATAGCATAGCATAACATAGCCAATCATATCATATCATAGCATAGCATAGCATAGCGCAGCATGACATATCATAGCATATCATAGCATAGCGCAGCTTAGCATCATAGCATAGCATAGCTTAGCATAGCACAGCGCAGCATGACATATCATAGCTTAGCATAGCACAGCGCAGCATGACATCGCATAGCACAGCACAACATAGCATAGCAGAGCATAGCAAAGCAGAGCAGATCATAGCAGAGCGCAGCATAGCACAACATATCATTTCATATCATAGCATATCATAGCATAGCATAGCATATCATAACATAGCACAGCATAGCATAGCGCAGCACAGCATGGCATGGCATAGCATAGCATAGCATAGCATAGCAACTAATGCTGCTTTCCTAGGGGCTCCAATTTCTAGGTAGGGTCGCACTGGGGTATTTTTCCCGGAAAGGGCGGGGGCCCAGGGTTCTCTTTTACTATGTAAACATGTCCCCCGGTGCCAACTTGAAGGAGGCCGGCGGATTTTTTCCCTGATAAATATCGAGGTCGAAGGAGGCCGGCGATTAAAATTTGAGGATGTCTCGAGCGAAACGCTTGTTTTTGAAATCCCGATCGATAAATCACAGGGTGCGGGCCACTTTTTCGTGCGTTGAGGATGTCTCGAGCGAAACGCTTGCTCCGCAGAGTTTGCCGAGGATGTCTCGAGCGAAACGCTTGTTTTGCAGAGCCGACCGCGACGCGGAAAAGCGCCCCGCGCGAAGGAATTTCGATGATGTCTCGACTAATTCGTTTGTTGTTGTACGATTTCCTGGAATTTTGGCAGGATGTCTCGAGCGAAATGCACGACCCCACCCTAGCACGACCATCCCCCAGCACGACCACACCCCAGCACGACCAGACCCCAGCACGACCCCACCCCAGCACGACCCCACCCCAGCACGACCATACCCCAGCACGACCACACCCCAGCACGACCCGACCCCAGCACGACCCTACCCCAGCAAGACCACACCCCAGCACGACCACACCCCAGCACGACCTCACCACAGCACGACCACACCCCAGCACGACCACGCCCCAGCACGACCACGCCCCAGCACGACCACGCCCCAGCACGACCACCCCCAGCACGACACCCCCCCAGCACGACCACCCCCCAGCACGACCACCCCCCAGCACGACCACACCCCAGCACGACCACACCCCCCCCACCCCCCACGCACACGACCCCACCCAGCACGACCCCACCCCAGCACGACCACGCCCCCAGCACGACCACACCCCAGCACGACACACCCAGCACGACCACACCCCAGCACGACCCCACCCCAGCACGACCCCACCCTAGCACGACCACACCCCAAGCACGACCACACCCCAGCACGACCACACCACCAGCACGACCCACCCCAGCACGACCCCACCACAGCACGACCACACCCCAGCACGACCACACCCCAGCACGACCACACCCCAGCACGACCCCACCCCAGCAAGACCACACCCCAGCACGACCACACCCCAGCACGACCTCACCACAGCACGACCACACCCCAGCACGACCACGCCCCAGCACGACCACGCCCCAGCACGACCACGCCCCAGCACGACCACCCCCCAGCACGACCACCCCCCTAGCACGACCACCCCCCGCACGACCACACCCCAGCACGACCACACCCCAGCACGACCACACCCCAACACGACCACACCCCAGCACGACCACACCCCAGCACGACCACACCCAGTCGCACCCCCGTGGAATGTTTCGTGGGGTGTCTGGTTGAGTGGTTGCCTGTTCGTGGGGTGTCTCGTGGAATGTTTCACGGGGTGTCTCGTGGAATGTTTCGTGAGGTGTCTCGTGGGTTGTTTCGTGAGGTGTCTCCTGGGATGTTTCGCGGGGTGTCTCGTGGGATGTTTCGTGAGGTGTCGCCCAGTTGGATATCGTGAAAACGTGACCATGCTGCACATGTCTATATCCCTTTCCGGGTTCGTGGGTCCATCATGTTTAATGAGGGATCTTGGGTTGGGAGTGGGAGGCCCTGGAGCGCTTGAGGCCAGCGCCTGGTGATGCGGGACGTGCACGGTCCTCGAGCAGGCGCGCGTGGGATGAAGGGTCTAGGAGGCCGCAGCCATGCTGGAAGTGCGTAATCCTCGAGCAGACGCGCATGGAATGAGGTCTAAGGCATTCGTTGCCACACGGGAAGTGCACAACCCTCGAGCGGGCACGCGTGTAAAGGGGGTTCAGGCACTAGCTGCCATGCGGAGAGCGCCCCATCCTGGAGCGGGCACGCGTGGATGGAGGGTTCCAGCATTCGCTGTTTTGCAGGACATGCACCATCTTCGAGCGGGCACGCGTGGAAGCGGGATCAGACCAGTAGCTGCCTGCCATGCGGGAAGTGCACCATCTTCGAGCGGGCACGCGTGGAAGGGGGGAGTAGACCAGTACCTGCCATGCTGGAAGTGCACCATCCTCGAGAGGGCACCCGTCGAAGGGGGGTTCAGGCATTTGCTGCCCTGCTGGAAGTGCACCATCCTCGAGAATGCCCGCGTGAAAGGGGGGTTCAGCCACTAACTGTCATGCGGGAAGTGCACCATCTTCGAGCGGGCATGCGTGGTAGGGGGGTTCAGGCATGTGTTGCCACGCGGGAAGTGCACCATCTTCGAGCGGGCATGCGTGGTAGGGGGGTTCAGGCATTTGTTGCCATGCGGGAAGTGCACCACCTTCGAGCGGGCACGCGTGGAAGGGGGGATTCGACCAGTGGCTGCCCTGCTGGAAGTGCACCATCCTCGAGAGGGCACGCGTGGAAGGGGGGTTCAGGCAATAGCTGCCCCTGGACGTGCACCATCTTCGAGCGGGCACTAGGGAAGTGGCCTCGGAAAGGAGGGGCGGTGAACGCAGGAGTCTACTGGTAGAGAGAGAGAGAGAGAGAGAGAGAGAGAGAGAGAGAGGGGCGGCCCCTTCTTAGAATGCAGACCTTGACATTCTTCCACGCCTTCACGTGCCAGGGGCATGGAAGCGGATACGATGCTTGAACCTTGGGCCAGGGGCACCCTCAGCGACCCCCGAGCCTCTGCGTCCGGAACCTGGCGCGCGGCCCGCCCCTGCGCGCCCGCCTGGCCAGCTCCGTGCAGGTCCTCGTGCCGTCGCTGGACGCGGGCCTTGAGGCGGCTACTGGGCGCGTCCACGGCCGTGCACGCGGCCGCAGCCACGGCCACAGCCACGGCCACAGCTACGGCCCTGCACACTGCCATGCACACGGCCGCCACGGCCACGCACACGCGGCCAGGGCAGCGGGCACGGCCATGGCCGCCGCAACGGCGCCCTGGGGCCACCGGGGGCGGCGCGCGCGTCCTCCCAGGCCTCGAGGCGTCGCGAGAACGAGCGCGGCGGGCGTTTCGCGCTCGTTCCGGCCTCAGCGGTGCCATTTTGTCTGGCCCTGGGGCCATCGGGAAGCGGTCCGCGGCGAGGGACTGGTCCAGGGGAGCGGGGCCGGGAGCTCCAGGGGCCCAGGCTGCAGAGGCCGCGGAGAAGCCTGCAAAGGGCCCAGGGCCTGATTGGGGAAGGTGGCAGGAGCCCGCCAGTGCCAGCGCCGCACGGAGAGACGGGGGGAGGGGCTCCCAGTGGAGGGTGTGGCGCGGCACCAGGAGCGGGCGTTGGATCACAAGTATTGCGACGGCAGCGACGTCGACCGCCGCCAACGACGACGACCAGGCAGGGCCACCTACGATCCGACGCGATGCGATCTCGATCCCATTCGAGACGACGCGTTGGCGATCCGATCAATCTCCGATCTGGCCTGGTCCAGCGGTCCAGCGTTCGTTCGTCCGGCCTCGTCGGCGCGCTGCGAGACCTTGTGCTCGGCGCCCTCCAAGACGCCAGGATCCAGCCTGCACGGCGAGATCCCGATCTAGCCGTCCTGGCCCCGCCTCGGGCGCGCGCGGGCGGCGGCGTCGGTTGAGGGCGCGGCGGAGGCTGCCGGGCTGTGGGAGGCGTGATGTGCGCAGCCGTCGCGCGGTGCAGCGGGCGCCTGGAGGGCGTCGGCGCTCGCCGCTCGGGTGATGCCGGAGGAGGGAGGCTGGATTCCCTTCGGGGCCGTCTTCGTTCCTCTTGCACGCCAGACAGTTCGCCCGTCGGTTGCCCCGATGAGCCCCGCGCCGGGGGTCGGACTGCCTCTGCCTCGCCGCCGACGAGAAAAAGGTGCCAGAGGTGCTCCTGGGCCAGGGCGTCCCCAGGACTTCCGTCCGGGGACCCTCACGGCCTCTGGGGCACCGCTTCACGAGGCCCAGAGGGCCCCCTATGGGTCCCAGGATGGCGCGCGAACAGCTGGTGACACCTGCCTAGGACCTAGGCCTCGCAGATGTGGTCCGAGCGGATGGGGTCCCAGACATGCGGCGTCTTATTTTTTCCCGGAAAGGGCTCAGGCCCAGGGTTCTCTTTTAGTATGTAAACATAGTCCCCCGTGCCCAACTTGAAGGAGGCCGGCGGATTCTTTCCCTGATAAATATCGAGGTCGAAGGAGGCCGGCGGATTAAGATTTGAGGATGTCTCAGGCGCAACGCTTGTTTTTGAAATCCCGATCGATAAATCACAGGGTGCGGGCCACCTCAGCACGACCACATCCCAGCACGACCACACCCCAGCACGACCACGCCCCAGCACGACCACGCCCCAGCACGACCACACCCCAGCACGACCACACCCCAGCACGACCACACCCCAGCACGACCACACCCCAGCACGACCACACCCCAGCACGACCCGATCGATAAATCACAGGGTGCGGACCACCCCAGCACGACCACACCCCAGCACGACCCCACCCCAGCACGACCCCACCCCAGCACGACCAGCACGACCAGCACGACCACACCGACCACACCCCAGCACGACCACACCCCAGCACGACCACACCCCAGCACGACCCCACCCCACCCCCCAGCACGACCACACCCCAGCACGACCACACCCCAGCACGACCACACCCCAGCACGACCCCACCCCAGCACGACCCCACCACAGCACGACCACCCCCAGCACGACGCACGACACACCCCAGCACGACCCCACCCCAGCAAGACCACACCCCAGCACGACCACACCCCAGCACGACCTCACCACAGCACGACCACACCCCAGCACGACCACGCCCCAGCACGACCACGCCCCAGCACGACCACGCCCCAGCACGACCACCCCTCAGCACGACCACCCCCCTAGCACGACCACCCCCCAGCACGACCACCCCCCAGCACGACCACACCCCAGCACGACCACACCCCAACACGACCATACTCCAGCACGACCACACCCCAGCACGACCACACCCAGTCGCACCCCCGTGGAATGTTTCGTGGGGTGTCTGGTTGAGTGGTTGCCTGTTCGTGGGGTGTCTCGTGGAATGTTTCACGGGGTGTCTCGTGGAATGTTTCGTGAGGTGTCTCGTGGGTTGTTTCGTGAGGTGTCTCCTGGGATGTTTCGCGGGGTGTCTCGTGGGATGTTTCGTGAGGTGTCGCCCAGTTGGATATCGTGAAAACGTGACCATGCTGCACATGTCTATATCCCTTTCCGGGTTCGTGGGTCCATCATGTTTTCGATACGGGGTCCCTGGAAGTCCCGACCCCTTCCCCGGGACCAGTTTTTCATCCCGAGTCAGTTTTTGACGGTCCAGAGGCCCGGCAAGGGCCCCCCGAGGCCGAACATGGCCAACAACCTCTTGTCCAGATTTTTTTTTACGACGCGATCATGTCTGGGGTCGGAGGATCGCGCCGCATGGCCGATGCATCGGCGATGCGTCTCGATGTCGACGTCGTCTCGACGGGCCCCGAAGTGGCGCGCGCGCGTCGTCGTCGTCGTCGGCGGTGCCTCCGCGGCGGAGGCGGGGCGTGCGGAGCTCCTCGCCGCGGGCGCGGCAGCGCTGTGCAACGTGTGCTGCGACGCGACGCTGAAGGCCGAGGCCGTGCGCCTCGGGGGCGTGGAGAGGGCGCTGCGCGCGCTGAAGGCGCAGCCCACGCACAAGGCGCCGGGCCGCCCCTCTCAGGGGCAGCGGCTCGGCGCCACCGCGACATGCTTCTGCCGTAGCACCCCGCAGATGCGGGTGCGAGCGAGGGGGCGGTGGGAGCGTCGGTCGTCTGCGAGACTCTGGAGAAGCCCGCCGCAGGCGCCAAAATTTGACACAACGAGCCCGCCGCAGGCGCCGATTTTTTCCGGGAAAGGGCTTAGGCCCAGGGTTCTCTTTTAGCCGTTTCCCCCCAGACTCGACGGGAAGAGGGCCAGCGGAATTATTTTGCGATAAATAACGAGGCGAGAAGAGGGCCGGCGGAATTATTCTTTAAGGATGTCCCGAACGACACGCTTGTCTTTTTTGAGTGTGTTGAGGATGTCTCGAACGAAACGTTTGTTTTGTGTTATCGATGGTTTTATGTTTGAGGATGTTCCGAACGAAACGCTTGTTCCCGGAACGGGCGTAGGCCCAGGGTTTTCTTTTAGTTGGTCAACCTGTCCCCAGTGCAATGCTTGAAGGAGGCCGGCGAAACTATTTGCGATAAATAACAGGGTAAAGTCCCATTCGGCGTGGAACAAATGCGTTTCGCGCGTGCCCGCTCGAGGAAAGTGCGCCCCCCCATCTCGGATCCTCGTTGCCTAATGGGGTCCGCGGACCCCCGCTTTCCCTCGTAAAAAAGAAGGTGCGGAGCGTTTTGCGCAGAATCCATATTAAGTAACGAGGTATGGAGCCCCGACCGGGACACGAAACATGTGACGACATTGTTTTTTTGCGTGCCCGCTCGAGGATGGCGCGTGCCGCGCGCGGGAATTTCGAGGAGGTCTCGAGTCCCGCGCTTGTTTTGTAGAAGGAAAAGATGGGCTTTTTGAGTTCCCGCTCGAGGGTTGCACCCTGCGTGCGGAGTCTCTGAGGATCTCTCGGGCGAAACGCTTGTTTTGCAGCGCTTGAAAGGCTTGGGCGCCCCAGGATGCCCAGGTGGTTCTGGGAGTGCGATCGGACCGTTTTTTACAAAGGATCGTGGCCGTGGGAGCGCAGATGCCGCGTAATTTGCGAAGGATCCCGGCCCTGGGAGCGCGGACGCAGCGTAACTGACGAGGGATCCTGGCCCTGGAGGCGCGAAGCCAGCTTAATTCACTAGGGATCGTGGCCCTGGGAGCGTGGACACTGCCTCATTCACGAGGGAGCGCGGCCCTGGGAGCGTGGACGCTGCGTCATTCACGAGGGAGCGCGGCCGTGGGAGCGCGGACGCAGCGTCGTAGAGAAGCGCAAAACAGCCCCTGGCACAGTAGCATCACCATTGATACCTGGCACGTTCCCTGGCGCCTCCCCTGGGCACGTCGCGCGATGCGTCCCCTGGCACGTCCGCTGGCACGTCCGCTGGCACGTCCGCTGGCACGTCCGCTGGCACGTTCCGTGGCACGTCCCCCTGGCAAGTTCCGTGGCGCGTCCCCCTGGCACATCGCGCGGTCCCCTGGCACGTCCCGTGGCACGTCCACTGGCACGTTTAGTGGCGCGTCCCCTGGCACGTCACTGTGCGGCGCGGCACAGCGCAGAGAAGCGTAACACAGCCCCTGGCACAGTAGCATCTCCATTGATACCTGGCACGTTCCCTGGCGCCTCCAATGGGCACGTCGCGCGATGTGTCCCCTGGCACGTCCGCTGGCACGTCCGCTGGCACGTCCGCTGGCACGTTCCGTGGCGCGTCCCCCTGGCACTTTCCGTGGCGCGTCCCGTGGCACGTCCCCCTGGCACATCGCTCGGCGCGTTGGCACGTCCCCTGGCACGTCCATTGGCACGTTTTGTGGCGCGTCCCCTGGCACGCCACTGTGCGGCGCGGCACAGCGCAGAGCAGTACAACACAGCCCCTGGCACAGCGTCATCACCATTGATAGCTTCAGCATCATCACTGCCCATCGCCCAATTGAGGTGCTTGGAAACGTCTCCATCCCTCGCAGTTCTAAATCCCTTTCCGGGTTCGTGGGTCGATCATGTTTTTCAGAATTTGTTGAGGATGCCTCGAGCGAAACGTTTGTGTTGTGTTATATATGGTTTCCTCCTTGGGGCCAGAATTCAGAGGATGTCTCAAGTGAAAGGACTGATTTTACGTATGTTCTGGAGTGTGGTATGTATTCAGGGAACGCTTTTCGCTTCCCCCCGCCCCCCCAGGGCGGGGGAGAAGCGTGAACACACATGGGTTCATAACGCCCCAGGGCAGGACACATGTGAAAACACATGGCTTCCTAACGCCCCAGGGCGGGAGAAGCGTGAAAATATATGCTTCCTAACGCCCCAGGGCGGGACCAGTGTGAAAACACATGGGTTCCCAACGCCCCAGGGCGGGAAAGGGGTTAAAGCACATGGGTTCCTAACGCCCCAGGGGGCCCCAGGAGGCCCCAGGAGGCTCCAGGAGGTTTCACGAGGCCCCAGGAGGCATTATTCCCTACCTAGGCTCTGCCTAGAAGGGTTCTTACTCTCTTAGCTTAAAGGGGCTGGGCAGTGGAACACGCCCCGGGCGGTTCCCCCAGTCACCTGGGAGCGGTTCCCCCCAGTCCCCTGGGAGCTTTAGCTTTAGCTTTAGCTTTAGCTTTAGCTTGAGCTTTAGCTTAGCTTTAGCTTAGCTGTAGCTTAGCTTTAACTTAGCGTTTCGCTTAACTTTTCGCTTAGCTTTTCGCTTAGCGTTTAGCTTAGCTTTAGCTTAGCTTTAGCTTAGCTTGAGCTTAGCTTTAGCTTAGCTTTAGCTTAGCTTTAGCTTAGCTTTATCTTAGTTTTAGCTTAGCTTCAGCTTAGCTTTAGCTTAGCTGTAGCTTCGCTTTAGCATAGCTTTAGCTTAGCTTTAGCTTAGCTTTAGCTTAGCTTTAGCTTAGCTTTAGCTTACCTTTAGCTTAGCAGTGTATTAGCTTTAGCTTAGCTTTAGCTTAGCTTTAGCTTAGCTTTAGCTTAGCGTTACTGTTACTAATAATGCTGCTTTCCTGGGGGTTCCAACTCCTAGGTAGGGTCGCACTGGGATACTTTTGTATTGGGATCTGTGTTCGGGGTGCGCTTTTCGCCCCAGGAGGCCCCAGGATGCCTTTTTCTGTATTGGGTATGTGTTCGAGGAGCACTTTTTGCTCCCCCCCGCCCCCCAGGAGGCCCCAGGAGGTTCGAGAAGTGTGAAAACACATCGGTTCCTAACGCCCCAGGGCGGGACAAGTGTGAATACACATGGGTTCCTAACGCCCCAGGGCGGAGCAAGCGCGAAAACGCATGGGTTGCTAGCGCCCTACGGCGGGAGAAGTGTGAAAACACATGGGTTTCGAACGCCCCAGGGCGGGAGAAGCGTGAAAACGCATGGGTTCCTAACGCCCCAGGGTGGGGCCAGCCTGAAGACTCGAGGGTCCCCTGGCACGTCCCGTGGCACGTCCATTGGCACGTTCCGTAGCGCGTCCCCTTGGTACGTCCCGCGGTGCGTCCCCATGGCACGTTCCCTGGCACGTCGCCTGGAGCGTCCCTTGGGACGTTCCGCGCGCGTCCTCCTGGCATGTCCCCCCTTGTCAGTTAGCCCTGGGGCAGCTACTATGTGCTCAGGCAGCTCGAGCTTAAGATCCAGATCAGTTCGGTCAGGACTCGGATGCAAAGGAGGACTCGATCCACAACGCTATAGAGCACAATCGCGGCATGGCACATCACAATCCAGCACGGCGCAGCACAGCATAGCCCTCGGCACGGTACATCAAGATCGATACACTCAGCATTGCAACCTGGCACGGCTACTATGTGCTCAGGCAGCTCGAGCTCAAGATCCAGATCAGTTCGGTCAGGACTCAGATGCAAAGGAGCACTCTATCCACAACGCTATTATAGAGCACAATCGCGGCATGGCGCATCGCAGCTCAGCACGGCGCAGCACAGCACAGCCCTCGGCACGGTACATCAAGATCGATGCATTCAGCATTGCAATTTGGCACGTTTCATGACGCGTCCCGTGGCCGAGTCCCCCTGGCACGTCGCGCGGCGCGTCCCCTGGCACGTCCCGTGGCACGTCCATTGGCACGTTCCGTAGCGCGTCCCCTTGGCACGTCCCGCAGTGCGTCCCCATGGCACGTCCCCTGGCACGTCGCCCGGCGCGCCCCTTGGGACGTTCCGCGGCGCGTACTCTTGGCATACCCCCCCTGTCAATTAGCATTGGGGCTGCTACTATGTGCTCAGGCAGCTCGATCCACAACGCTATAGAGCACAATCGCGGCATGGCACATCGCAATTCAGCACGGCGCAGCACAGCACAGCCTTCGGCACGGTACATCAAGATCGATGCACTCAGCATTGCAACCTTGCACGTTCCCTGGCACGTTCCGTGGCGCGTCCCGTGGTGAGTCCCCCTGGCACGTCGCGCGGCGCGCCTTCTGGCACGTCCCGTGGCACGTCCATTGGCACGTTCCGTAGCGCGTCCCCTTGGCACGTCCCGCGGTGCGTGCTTACGGCACGTCCACTTGGCACGTCGCCTGGCGCGTCCCTTGGGACGTTCCGCGGCGCGTCCTCCTGGCATGTCCCCCCCCAGGCAGCTCGAGCTCAAGATCCAGATCAGTTCGGTCAGGACTCGAATGCAAAGGAGGACTCGATCCACAACGCCAGAGAGCACAATCGCGGCATGGCACATCGCAATTCAGCACGGCGCGGCACAGCACAGCCCTCGGCACAGTCCATCAAGATCGATACACTCAGCATTACATTTTCTCGTCACGTTGCTATGCTTTACATTTCTATATTCCTTTCCGGGTTCGTGGGTCGATCATGTTCTTCAAACCAATGTGGATCGGTCGCGGGTGGGTCGCGGGATGGGTCGCGGGTGGGTCGCAAGTGGGTCGCGGGTGGGTCGCAAGTGGGTCGCGGGTGGGTCGCGGGGTGGGTCGCGGATGGGTCGCGGGGTGGTTCGCGGGTGGGTTGCGGGTGGGTCGCGGGTGGGTCGCG